TAACAAAAAAAATTTTTTTAATAAAAAATAAAAAAAATCCTAACCATCCATACACAAAATCTTCATTCCTTAGCTATATTGGAATTCATTTTTATCACTGAATTCATCTGATTATTTCTACCAAAATGTATTCACACTGCTCATTGCCTTCCCATTACTTTTCTATGGTTTTCTCTATGTGAAAATTCTTTCTAGAAAATATGTCAAAAGCTTCCTCAATTCTTTATCCATAGGGAACAAGTGGCAATGGATGCTGCACCTATCCACAAATATTTATTGTGTACCCAGTGAAACAGTAACATCAGTTGTCCAGTGTTTGAGTACTTGCTTTATACTAGACATTATACTAAATGTTTTTAATACACTATTTCATTTTATCCTTCTAATTGCCCTATGTAGGAGACACTTCCAGTGTATATACAATGAAACAGAGGCTTACAGAGAGTCAGAGCTATGCTCACAGTTATGTGGCTCATAAGTAGATGAGTCAGTACTTGAACCCAAGACATCTGACTTCAAAGTCCATACTTTTAACTATTCCACACTGTTTCTTGTCCACAGGCCAGGAATTCCAAAGACGATCTGGGAAAGTTTTATTTATTTATTTTTTTAATATATGAAATTTATTGTCAAATTGGTTTCCATACAACACCCAGTGCTCATCCCAAAAGATGCTCTCTTCAATGCCCATCACCTACCCTCCCCTCCCTTCCCCCCCATCAACCCTCAGTTTGTTCTCAGTTTTTAAGAGTCTCTTATGCTTTGGCTCTCTCCCACTCTAACCTCTTTTTTTTTTTCCTTCCCCTCCCCCATGGGCTCCTGTTAAGTTTCTCAGGATCCGCCTAAGAGTGAACACATATGGTATCTGTCTTTCTCTGTATGGCTTGATCTGGGAAAGTTTTAAAAAGATGGAAAACCCAGTCTCTGGCCTAAAGTTCTCATACAGCATGTGAAGTGAGCATGTTTAGCAGAGGGGCAATGTTGGTCCCATTTATGCCTAACGCCAAAAGAATGGAAAGGTAACATAAGGCCCTTACATCTGGCCCTGAGGATTAGAATGGGGAAGGGCCTTCAAGTTTAGGAGATCAGGTAATCTTTGGAAGTCATTTGTAGCCTCAAACTTGACTCTTGTGGCCATGCTTAACAGAGAGGATGGGGGCACATCTAAAGAATCAGAAGACCATCTTGGTAAGAGCATGGGCTGTAGGTGATTGAACTCGAATCCTTTCCTGGTTGAGAACTTCTCATCCTATCTCTCTGATGCCAATATTCTCAGTCACCTCTTCTGGCAAAATAAGTGCTGGTTTCTAAAATTAATTTCGCAAGCGTTAGTTTAACTAATGAAAGGAGAGTTTGCCAGTTTCACTCTTCTCCAGGTGTAGATTATGATCCCTGGAGTAGGTTCCATGTGCCAGCACGTTCACATGCATAACTGGAGCACTGTTTTATGGAGAGAGACTTCAAGTTCAACCAAAGATGTATCCACCGCAGCAAACAGTAATGGTGGGGAGCAAGACAATCAAGAAACGCGGACACAATTTGGACCTGTCCCTTTATCAACTGCTGCTATGATGAATGGGGTAGATGCCATCAAATGTCATTAAGGGCCGGATTGCCTCATCTCTTCTGAAGGAAGGTGCCTGAATTACTCTTTTCTCCAAGGTCATTTAGGGAATCTGGGTCAGTCCTGCCATTTCAAACCACGATTTTCCCATATTAGGACCTCTGAGAGAACAATGTTAATGAATTCTGTTTATCTTCAACACAACTCTACAGGAAAGGAACAGGAAAAAGATGAAATCTGTTTCTTTTGTCTTTGCTTTTTGCTTTCAAAAATGTGTGGCTAGAAAACTAGCAAAAGAAAAAGAGACAGTATCGTTGCTGAAGTTTTCTGGCCAACAAAAGCACCCTGTTCTTGGGGTTGTGCATAGGAGAGAGAAGGACTTTTAATGGAGAGATGTCTTTGGACACCCACCATAGTTTGTCAGTTGCAGATGCTAATGGAACCAGGCTTGGCGACTGAAGGGGAAAATGGAATATGAAAGCAAAATGGAATAGGCCTATGAGGCAAGCATGTCATTTCTAAATGAAGGTTTCATGCAAAGGAGTTGAGTCTTTTCACAGCTGAAAATGGAATCTTTAAATAAGATAGAATAAAAGGATGCTTTGGCTTGTTGCGGGTTCTGTAATGAAATACAGTTTTCCTAATACCGTGTGACCTGCATTTCTCCCTGTTTTATGGGTGCTCTTCCTTGACGTACAAACCCGTATTTTCTCAAGTCAGCATTTGATGATGGATGTCAAAATACAGGCCATGTATTATGCATATAGCATTACCGATTTAAAGTGTTTACTTGTCAAGTTGAAGAAATTCAAAAACGTCACATCCACTGAATCCGCACAGCTGCCACTTGCAGTTTTTCATGCTTTTGAATGAAACTTCTGATGAAAACAGTTTAGTTTTCCCCGTCGCTATTCTGGGGAAGAAAACAGCTAGCCTTTAAAATGCATGTTCTCGGTGATGTGGTTGGCTGAAAAACACGCATTCCAAAGTTTAGAAAGATGGACACTGCATTGTCACTTGAAATTACTTCCCCTGTGCACAGTCTATCAACACAGAGAATAAAATTAAGTGCAATCAGAGAATGAAGAGTAAATAAAACTTTTTTTTTTCCCTTCTGAAAGTATGGCATTCCATAGTGTAAAATTTATACACGAGCGAGCAGAAAATAGGAAAAAACCCTTTCATATTTTCCTGGCATTTCATGCATTATGCACCTCCAAAACAACAGGCAATTATTGAGCACCTGTCATTTCATTCCTGGTAGATAGGGCTTCACACATACCATAAACCAGAGTGAATCCAACCTTGCTACGTTCCTGGGGACTAAGTTGGGCATCTTGCCACACAATCTTTTTGGAATTTTGTCCTTGGGAACTTAGCAAGTGACTCTGTATCTGTAAGTCCCTAATTCATTGATAAGTCTGTATAGCCAATCCACCAAGGGCAAAGAAGAGAAACCAAAGAAAATGTGAACGTCTATCTGCCTGTCCTATAAGGTTGGGGAGGAGATTGGGTCTCAACAACCAGCATGGAGCTCTTGGTACCACTTACCAGGTGTTTTACTTGATAAAATTAATTTTCACCAAATGAATATATTGAGGTAAATAAATGTCTCAGGTTTATAGGTCTCTATGCACATCCTTAAAGAGGCAGCCATTAAGCCTAGCTGGGATGATTTCTCACCCTCACTAAATTTGAACTTATGGTTAGGCCAGGCTCATTCTTGTATGTACTTGGGATTTGGGTCTGAGAAGCTCAAACTGCAAAAATCAGAAACCAAGTAGGCTACTTTCCAATTTACTGTGCCCATGTTTACCTTATGAAGTCTGTGTTAGGCACGCTGGGAGGTTCGAGGGTCCACTATAAGCTCGTGGCATATGTAGCAGTCAGGATGATTTCAGCTGCAAGTAAAAACAAAACAAAACCAAATCCCTCATTTTTGGCTTAAACAAAAAGGAAAAAATATGTACAATTGACCTTTGAACAATGAAGGAAGTTTAGGGGTGCCAGCCCTCCTGCACAGTTGAAAATCCTGTGTAACTTAGGAGTCCCCAAAAACTTAACTACTAATAGCCTATTGTTGACTGAAAGCCTTACTGATAGCATAAATAATCGATTAACCTACATTTGGTATGTTATGTGTCTTATGTACTATATTCTTACAATGAAGTAAACTAAAGAAAAGAAAATGTTATAAGAAAGTCAGGATCTTAAATTGTGTGTGTGTGTGTGTGTGTGTGTGTGTGTGAGTGTATGTACAAAACCAATCTACCCTACCTCAGGATATTTTACCATAAGAAATTTTATGTATATATATATATATATATATATATATATATATGTGTGTGTGTGTGTGTATGCATATATATATATATACACATAAATATTATATATAATTATTATATATAAAATATATACATAATCTCATTATCATATTGTATATTAAAATCTCATTTGTATATACTGTGTATAAAGTCTCACGTAGTAAGAATCCTGAGGTCAATTGGTTTTGGCTCTAGGGCTGGTTAATTTGGGAACTCAAGGATATTTCTTTCTATCATTAAGGCTGTCCATCATTCAGTTCAGCCAATGTCATTTAGTTGGTCCTCAACTGGTGCCCATCCTTGTTGCAAGATGGCCGCCATAGTTCTAGGCACTACAGGTACCAGAGCAATGTCTAGTGAATTAAAAGAGAATCTCTTTGTATGTGACTCTTTTTAATAGCAAAGAAACACTTCCTAAAAGTCCCCAACAAATTTCCTCCCATTTCCCTTTGGCCAGAACCTATCAAAAACCCTGGCTTGAGTCACTCACTGGCAAGAGAATAAGTAATCAGTTGGTTTAAGATAATAGTCAGGATAGGTTAGGTTATGCTGTGGTAACAACAACCACACAAACCCTGGTGTCTTAAAGCAACACAGATCACTTTTCACTCACTCCGAATGCTTTTGGGTCTAGGTTACTGTCCAGGGCTGCTGCCCAGCCTTCATCTCCATAGTAACCCGTATTCCCATGGTTGCCACAGTCTGGAAAAAGAGGCAGAAAGTCAAGTCAAATATTTGTAACAGAAGTGATGGTGTACATTGTTCTGTTCACTTTTCATGGGCCAAAGCATCTCCTGTGTCACACAGAAGCACAGAGTACAGTCTTCGTGTCTGCCTAGAGGGAGAGGGGAACAAAAATCTATGAGCAAGATCAGTAATTGGTGTAGAGACTCATTTTTCGGGAACTGTAAGGCAGGTTAGAATTATTTATAATGGCCTCCTACTTTGTGCTTCATGAAAGCAACACATCAGAGCTTATCCTGGGAGTGCTAATTGTTGACCTGTAAATAAAACATAAGCTACTTTTTTTATTATGTATATACATAATATTCATATTATTCCCAAGCTTTCCATGTCTCTGACTTTTCTTCCTTCTCTTTCTTTTTCACTAGGGTTCACACCTCCAGGAATGGACAGATCCTCTCCAGATAACAGCCCAGTGCACGGGATGTTACGCCAACCATCCATCACGACTGGGGTCAACATCCCTATCATCACTGAACTAGGTAGGGGTGAAAGTCAGCTTTGGGTAGATTTTTTTGTTCTCTTTTCCAACCATGTAGGATATGAGGAAGTTGTCCTGTTTCTTAGCTCCTTCAGCATAGTAGGCTCTAGTAGGGCTTGTTTGGGGGGAGGTGGAGAAAGGTATGAGTAGCAATGTGACAGATTACCAAAAGGAAAACTGATCTATCTTTCCTCTGAGAAGAATAGACAGTTTCCTTCGTGCTGGTCACTATTCTCAAAGGAGCTTGAGATGACGGAATTGAGATTGGGGCATAAATTAGGGAAGGAGGAGGAAAGGAGGAAAGGCATAATCCATGGACTCTGCCTGGTGATTTTCATTGGAAGCACCTCAAGACAGCTCCTACAATCAGAGCCCTCCCACTGAGGTACAAAGCCTCAGGACTAAGCCAAACCCATTTTGAGAACTGGGTGGAGGCGTTGGGCTAGTGTGTAATAACCCTCCATTTAATCTATCTGGTTGAACTTCTCAGCTAAAGGTCATTTTCAGTGAATGTCACTCTGGCCTAAAGTAGGATGGGGTTTGGAGGGCCATGATTATTGGCCAGTGGAACCCAACTTTTAACCTGGCTGTGACAGTTTTTCCTACCATTTGTGAATTTACAAAACTGCTGAGTGGTGCCTTCCCCCCAAGACAATACTAACCACCTAAGGTGCTGGGTCTCTTTACGTTACAATGTTTCCTCTGTTATTCCCTCACTCTCTTCTTTTTCTGTACTTTCCTCCACTCCCTTTCCCCAACCCTTAAATGCTGTATCCAATTAGCTAAACCTGGCAAGTTGCCTTTGGTATCAGTCAATCAGGAAAAAAACAGTGGGACGCACATTCTAATGATAACTGAACTGGGTAAGAAGCACTGTTTTCCTTCACATCAGTATCTCCTTTTGTTCCGTGGTTGGTGTTTCCAACTATCATTGGCTTGTTTTTTTATTTCACCGGCTGTAACAGAAAGACTACCCCATGGCACTGCTTTGAATGTGTTTTATTTGTGGCTCTGGTTGGAATCGACTGTCTTGTTCTGGCCTTTCTTAATGATTTTTTTCCCCACACAGCATCAGTAAACCTTTGATCACACCCATCTGACCTGGCAGTTGTTTCCAAAGCATCTTTGCTCTAATTCATTTTCTTTGGCCTGGGCCTTTTTTTTTTTCTTTTTTTCTTTTCCATGTGTCCCCCTGCTTCCCCGCCTTCTCCCTCATATTCCTCTTCCAACATACTGTCAGTTTGACTGACATGTCTTCACAGCTCTCAGAGGAAGCCAAAGGAGAAATATAAAAATTTTAAGATAAGAAATCTAAGACGGAGCCTTCCCTCCAGCTGTTTATTTTCCTTTATTCTGACTTTATTTGCCTTCCCCCCCCCCCCCCCCCCCCCCCCACCACAAGGCCTTTTCTCAGAACCTCTGGTTCTGAAACCATAAAAAGCAGCCAGCTCCCAGGGGACCTTTTCTTACAAAAGGCAAGATTTCAAGAAGGGTGCCAAGGCTGAGGTGAGCCACCACTGAGGCACAGTCCTGCTCTCTGACCCCCATCCGGCCCGACCCAGAGCCTCAGGGAGATTCAGAGTGGACTCATCGGGAAGATGAAGGGTTCTGGTCGTGACTACATTTGTCAGGCCCTTCACACTTCCCCATGACTTGGTTAATGACTCTGTAAAAGGCACCCATCAGCAGCAGGTCTCAGAACTGGGGATTGATCTTCTAAATAGAGACAGCAAAAGTGCCGCTCTGCAGAGGGGTGGATAGAGAGGTGGGGAGCACCTGCCTTCGAATGACTCACGAATGAAACGAACATGCCATTCTTGTGGCCCCCAAATATATTTCAAAATAAGAGAGCAGGCTTTTAACACAGTAATCTTGCTTGTGAGGTGTCTGGAAACTAAGGAATAAATTGTCCACCATTCAGCACTGCATTATTGGAGACGTAGCTATTTATCAGGACAAATTCACTCAGGTCAAGGAGGATTGCACTATTTTCTGTTTCCAACAGTAGGAGAGGTGTCTTTTCCATGTTTAGAGAAGTTGGCTAAAAGCCTGGGTTTCGGGATTGCTCTTCTCAGAACCATAGGGTTGTAAGAGACCCAGAGAGCGTGTGCAGCCGGGACGGCAGGTTGGAAAATTCATCCAGATATCTCCATCTCAGAAACCTTTAGTGGCACTTCAAAATCATCACTGCCAGGAATTTCTTTTTCTGTTTGGAATTCATGTGCCGCCAGCTAACTAGGATATCTTTATTTGTGATTAGTAGGAGAGAAAAGAAAAGGCTGGGTGGCCCAAATCGGAGGCAACAATGCAGGCATTCAGTTAGCATAATGGAATCTCCTGAGCCTTTGTTCCTCACCAGATCTCTTCCGGGAGCTCAGAGAACCTTCCATGTGTTCACATCATCCTTACCTTCTGCCTTAAGCCTTGTTTTCCTAGTGCTCATACCACGTTTGCAAGTACACCATCATCCACCAATCACTTGGCCTCCCTGCATCCCCACACATATCTACTATTTACCTTCATGTTCTGAGTCACGTTCCACATTATGCCAACCAGTAGAATGCCTTCTAAAAAGCACAGGGGATGCTAGCACCAAACACGTTTTTAAAACTGTGTAGTATATTCCAGTCTTCACCCACTTGGAGAGTTTCAGTTGATGTTAGTGGATTGAAGGCTCCCAGAAGTTCCACAAGAAGGAAATTTGTTTAAAGCTATTTCACCTGCTTTCCAGTTCTAGGAAACTGTACAACATTTGGGGAGGGATTTAAAAAAAAAAAAATCCCTCTTAGCATCCGCATGACTGTTCTGTGAAATAGGCTTTGGATAACACTGTCTGCTCTCCCTCTGAGACTATCCCAGAACAAAACACAGGATTTTCAGGGAACCCTGGTTCCTGCCCTGGAGCTCTTTCCCAATGACTGAAATGCCTGGCTCGCTGACAATCTACTCGTGTCTCCCTACTTGTGGCCACATCCCCTCCAAGTCTAGTACCTCCCGTTCCCCGTGGTCTTGAAAAGAGGTAACAGGTGCTATAGCTTTTGGAGTGTCAGTGCACATGATGTCCTTGGCTATTCTAAGTAATTGAAACCACACTCCTCTGAGTATTGTCCAGAGTTCATATTTTTGATCCACAAAGCAAGAAGTCTATACTGTAGCCTCTAAGATACTTTTGGGTAAATGGAGGGAAGAGAGGAAAAGCTACCATATGGCCCCAGTAGGGTCTCTCAGCAAGGTCTTACTTGCTTCTGAGAGAGGCAGAGGGAAGCTGGGAATTTTCATAATGTAGTGAGGTGGACAGAACATTGACTCAGAAAGGCAATCCTGAGAGCAGCTGATGTCTATCAAGGTCCTGGGCCAGGCTCACCAAACACAATCTTATAGGAGCCTCCTGCCAACCTCATGAGAGCTGCTATTATTTCTCCCATTTTACAGACAGACAAACTACGCCGTGGAATGATGAAGTGCCTTGCTTGTACAGGGTTTATACAGAGCCCAGATTCAAAGCTGACTTGTCAGATCTTGCATTTTGCACCTTAACCCACTAGCCTGTAATTCAAGTGTTGCTGAGCAAAAATGTTCCCCCATTAAAATTTTTCTGTAGGGAAACAAGATGGTGTCACTTAAAAATAATTCCATGCCTAGCCTCTTAGCCTATTATCATTTATTCTGCCTCATACAATAAACAAACAAAAGTTAAAAAAAGTTACCCAAAAAGTAACTTTCAGGAAAAAAAAATTAAAACAATAACTCTAGGAAAGAGAATTAGCAACTGATACATTTAGAAAGGAATCAAAAACGGGAAACCTCATCTATTCTTTTCTTAAAAGCACCGTAATTATTCCAGAAATCATGAGCGCTCATCTCCTCCCCCACCCCACACTTTCTTCCCTATTACTTGCTCTGCAAAACTGATAATTTCTGAAGCCAAGATGGGAATGGAAATTAATTTGTCATTTAATTTTTAATAAGTTAAAGACATCTCAGTGACACAGCCAATCAGTCTGCACGTGCCTGCCGGAGGAGTCCTTGAGGAATCCTCAGATGGAAATGAACTACAGCATCAAATGCTGCATCTACTTTAGCTGAAGCACATAGAAGATTGAGCTGTTTAGAAGGGGAAAGGGAGAACGTGGGCGTCCCCATGCAACTCGGAATGCACAGCAAGTCTGTATCAGCAAGCAGCTGGAGACAGCCAGGAATCCATCCCACCTGGGGTCACCGGTCTGTCAGACAGGGCCTGTCAGTGTGTGCCTAGATTCAGGGCTAGGGACACCAGGCTCTACCCAGGCTGACCCCCGGCGGGCTAGGTCCTGCCTGCAGGTGAATTCCTTGCTATGTGCCTTTGCCGTGTTCCCAGTCTATCGCTCTTCAGTCTTAATAAATTGCTTTCTTTTCCTGTGGCTAAACTTAGCATCCCAGCATGGCTACTCATGGCTACTCATCCTTGAAATATGTTCATCTCTCAAAGGACTTGGCTACCGAAAAACACTTCAGGGTGTTCTTCGGTCATGATTCTAAAACTATACCAAAGGACTGACCAGCACTGTCCAGCAGTACTCCGGCAGCCTGCCAGGGAGCAAGGCTGCTTGAACTCATTGCTCTCCAGGCCTGAGAAGCTTGAACAGTCACGTAGAAGCAGTCCATTGAGTCTGCTGGCTCCCACCCCAAGATTCATTTACAGCTTCTCCCATGCTTTTCTTTCTTTTTCAGTGACCTCAGTGTTGCTAAACAAGTAGCCTGCTCTTTCTCTGGCTTCACCGGTTGTGTATGGTCTTTGGAGCTAATCCTCATTTTACGCTTTTTCTAGTGAACGATACTAATGTTCAGTTTTTGGACCAAGACGATGATGACGATCCCGACACAGAACTGTACCTCACGCAGCCATTTGCATGCGGGACAGCATTTGCAGTCAGTGTCCTGGACTCGCTCATGAGTGCGGTGAGTGGGTGCGGGATATGGGACTGGAGCACCTCTGACCTCCAACGTTAGCAGCCTAGGCCCGGAGCTTGAGCTCCTGGGGAGAGCATGACCACGCAAAGCTTGCAGTCTAGAAGGGGATACCGATGTTAGTCAGACTGCTGTGTAACTAACACAATATTTGGTTATGAATTCTTGAAAGTGTGAGGAAGGTAAGGAAGAGGGGAGATTTTGTGGGAAGAGCATCCCCTGAAGAAGAAAAGCAAATGCAAAGGCCTGGCGGTGAGGGAAACTGACAATCTTAAGGAGGCCAAAGAAAGCCTGTGTAGCCGGGCCACAGTGAAAGAGGGAGAGGGGAGGGCGAGGCAAGTTTGGACCTGCAAGACCAGAAAACTCATTTTTATGGCTTTGCTTTTTATCTCAAGGTAAATGAGGAGGCATTGAGGGTGGTTTTAAGCTGGCAAGTCATGTGATCAGGTTTATGTTTTAAGAGGATTGTCCTGGCTGGTGTGTGGAGGATGGCTTAGGAAACAAGATGGTGGCAGCAAGTCTGAGCATATGAGGCTATCAAAGCTTGGACGGGGATAGAGCTGGCGGAGCTGGAGGGAGTGGGTGCATCTGAGTAGTGTTGGTCAGGAAAATTGATAGGACTTGGAGATAGATTGAATATGAGCAGAAGATGGAAGAGAACAAGGTGTCAAGGGTGTCTCTTCCATCCCTGCCCATCACTGAAACGCAAGTCCTGGGAGGAGACCTCGCATGAGGGCCAGGCCTAGCCGGTTCTCTGCCGCCAGGAAGGAATGAAGCAGTGGCAAAGAGAGGAGGACGGGCTGGCTGAGGAGGTCAAAAGCATCATTGGTTTCTTTTCTAACTTGATATGCACCAAACAGTCAAGGCATTGTTTTTTCACTTTTGAGACTAAAAACAAATAACAATTAAAAGTAGGCCCGGTTCATGAAGCTATCTTGAACCAGAAAAGGCAAAAGCAGACACTAGAATAGGTTATTATTGAGGATTGTGAAGTGTTCCCACCGAATGTCTTTATTTATTAGAAAAGCCTCTTTATTTTGGAGCCCTCAAATTCACAATTTATGAAAATACAGACACAAGCTGGATAAAAACTGACCTTTGAGGAATCCACGAAAAAGTGTTTTATTGAACACATTAAAACCATAAACATAGCTCAGTGAGTTTTTATACACATGCATTCCTTAAAGTGCTTAAGAAGCCTATTCTCCTGAATGTGTTAAACAACTGATATGCTAATTATGCATTATTCTCCTCTATTCATTAAAGCTGATCCCAGAAGAACCTCTATTTGAGGAAAGAAAAAAACATAAAGCTTTTTAAGACTAATTTAGGTTATTCGGTATTTCTGAATGTGGTCCAACTGCAAGCACATCTTATTTAAAAAATTAGAATTATGGGTTTAAAAATAATTATGAGACAATATTCATCTGAATTAAGCTTGACTAGGCATCATGCCAGAACTTAGCTTTCCAAGGCAAGAAGGAGAGAAAACTGTCCGGGGAGAAGGCACTCTTGGTTTCCCAGGACTTGTGATTTCTTTCTGACTGCCTGCTGGTTCCAGGCGTAACCTTTCTACCTGCTAGTGATGTTGGGCTCAGTTTGGGCAAATACCTTAAGCAAGCCAGAAGATAGAAGCTACAGGATGCGCTCATACAGTGCCGAATTGTCGGTATGGTCTTCAGTTTCAGCCGGATTTCTGTAATTCATCTCTTTAGAAATCTCATTTGACTTCTGATCCTAATTAGAGAGATTACAGAAGATTGTTGTCACTAAGAGATGATGAAACTGTTTACAGTAGATTTTTTTTCCTAGAACTACAAAATACTCTATCAACAATTTATAAAAATCCAAATTTATAAAATTATTTATGTGTCTACCTGTCAGACATTCAGAATAGTCCAGGCAAGACCAGGTCTATAATTAGCAAGCCCACCTTTTCATACATTATTAAGAATTTCAAAATGATGACAGCAGAGCTTAAGCCAAGTGAGGGGCTCTCCTGAGCCTGGACCCTGGGTGACTGCACAGGCCACACACCCATGAAGCCAGCCCTTCGTACCAATAAAACCAATAAAGTTGATTTTAAGCAACAAAGAACTTCACCCCTACACAACTGAAGGGGCCCACGGCAGCCACAGGGCGGGGGTAGGGGGCACATCTGGATCTGAGCTGCACAACTCTCTGTCTGTAGCACCACCAGGGAGTCAGTTCTTGGAAACTCAGATGAGAAATCAAAGTGGGTTGGCTTGAAATTTTTAAAAAGCCGTCTCTAATCTCCTTTGAAATGCAAACTGAAGTGTCTGGGAGAGAGTGGCTAAGGCATGTATGGATGCTACGGTCTGCCAGCAGCATTCCTTCTGAATTCCAGCCTGGGAAAAAAGGGTATCAAGAATCTAGTAACTGTCATTGTACTCATCACCAGCTTCATCCGTTGAGGGCCCAGAACCGTGAGAGGCACTTCAGCTCTAGCGTCTGATCTTTTGGGCAATAACGTGCACAAACCTGAAGCAGGACATATTTAACCAATCTACTGACAGTGACTTTTCAAATCATTAGTCAAAATGCGTATCCAGTTATTCCAGGCCTGGTTTTCATTGTCTGGGACGAACAAGTTGCACAGTGAGGTCTTGAATTGAGTCGGGTTCCTCAGACCCAGTTGACAAAAATATTACCTGTGATTTCTTTGCATTCTACCTCATGTATGAAAAACCAGGAGCTTAGTCAAGAACCAAGGCAATAACTAGAAGGAACTGAGAGGGTTGGCAGGAATGTAAATTGAGAAACTGAGGCCTCTCCAAGCAGCGGGAGCCAGAGGTAAGCTTCATCCCAGGCACTCGCCTACAAGCAGCATGCCGACGTTTACACACACACCTCCTCAGATGTCCATGATCTCCTTTTTCTAGCCCCCAAATTGCCATTTAATCATGTGTCCAAACATCCCCTGAATATTGTCCTTCATAAGTCAACTCCTGCTGCTTCCTGCTTCATTTGTTAAAAGAGTAATGTTTTGATTCATCGCAGGCATTCCTGAACAGATAGGGATGTTGCAGACATGGCCTCACGGCTGCCTCCTGCTAATCAGCAGCAGAAACACATGATGAGAGGGAGTAATTACGCTTGTGGGTGGATGCCTCTAGGAAGACGACCGCAAAATAAGAAATGTGTTTCTCAGAATGGTACCAGCTTGCCGGTCACACACAGACGAGAAAGATGAAAGGAAGCCTCTTTGTATTTAAAGCTAAAACTGGCATGCTAGTATTCAGACTTCTTTTCCACAGCTACATACTCTTCCCATCCCTCACCCCCAATGTGAGTTCTACCTGGACCCTCCCTGGACAGAAAAGATAAGTCATGAACTAAGAGTCCGACTGCTTGGATCCAGAGCCCAGAACCACCATGTACTGGCTGTGTAACCTTAACCTCTCTGTGCCTCAGTTTCCCTATCTTTAAAATTGGGATCATAACAGTACTACCTTGGCTCAGTTGGTTAAGCGTCCGGTTTCAGCTTAGGTCACGATCTCACGGTTTGTGGGTTCGAGGCCTGGGTTGGGCTCTGTGCTGACAGCTCAGAGCCTGGAGCCTGCTTTGGATTCTGTGTCTTCCTTTCTCTCTCTACCCCTCCCCCACTCACACCCTCTCTTTCTGTGTCAAAAATAAATAAATATCAAAAAAAATAATACTACCTTCCTCGCAGAATTGTTGAGATAATTAAATGAGTTAAGATTGTAAAGTGACTAGTGCCGTGCTTTGCACATGACAAGCTCTATATGCATTCATTGTTACTAATCGATGCCTTCACTGGGCACTTAACTAAATGCCAGGCACTATTTTGATGCTGAGGATTCAGTAGTGAAGAAGAAAGAGGAAGACCCTGCCCTCCTGTTGTTAGAACTTTCATTCTAGTGGGGGATAACTATGTAAATGACAGCAGCTATCGTTACTGCTAGTAGTAGTAAATGAATACTATGAAATGGGCAAGACTGATTTGAAGAACATAAAATAGTTTGCATGGGTGTAGAGACCTGTGTTAGCAACCATGGTCAGAGCAAAGCTATCTTAACAGAAAACTTGGAAGCTGACACCAAAAAAGCAGAAGAAGAAAGCGCCTGGGGGTGAGGGCGACTAGCTTTCCAAAGCAGAAGAAAGAACAGGGCAAAGGCTGAACAGTGGTGCTGAGCTGGGTTTGGTTTGTCTGAGAGAGTAGTTGAAGGCCATCATGGTTGGAAGATAGTGGATACCGGGGAGGAACATACAATAAGCAGTCAGACAGGCGAAGCTGTCGTCCGTACTGTGAGTATTCTGCATCCAAAAGATCACACTCGGCAAGGTTCTAAGTCCGGGGTTAAACACTTCAGTCCTGGTTAGAGGATGCTTCTTCCTTCGGATGCCACTGGCATCCTCCTAAGGGCACTGCTTCCTGTGTGTTCTGGATGGAAGGACAAATCCATCACTGAATTGAGTCCTGAAGTAACCTCTGATTATTTTTCTGTCCAGTGTGCCATCCTAGTGCACTCATTTTAAGAGAAGAAAGAAAGAGAAACAGCACAATATTTTGGCATGAGTACCTGGACTGATGATATTTGGCTTGTAATGATGGGTCTATCACAGAAGTCTCAAAACAGCACATAGCAGGCAACACCCATCCCACAGACAGGTTCTGCATTTCCAAAAGGTTTTTAATGTTTAAATGGAATCTGCTGCCAATGTTTTAAAATTACAAGATTACACATAAAATATGGGTTTCCAGCTAATTTTGATTGGAGTCACAAAGCAGATTCCCAGATGCCCACAAAGCAGCAATTGGTTAGAGCTGAGCGATGGTCCCCTTAGCTACAGCCCACACTATTCCCCATTGGATTCTACCAGGCCTGTTTTACTCGTGCCACTGGTCCCTGACTGTCCATTCTGCCGAACCAGACTTACAGGCCTCCTGCTTCTAATTGTGTGAGCCCTCACGACTATCATCAGAGAGCATCCTTGGTCTTCTGGCC